GCCATGGATGACGGCTGTATCGTCCATGAAGGCACCAGGCGGGAGGGTCGGCAGAGGCTCCTTCTTCCACCAGAACGGCTCGTCGAGGAGCGTGCAGAGAGCTGCCATGTACTCGAGCTCGAGCTTGGCATAGGCACTCGCGCGATCCGGTGCATAACACCAGATGGAGCATGTAAGTGGTGAGTGGATCGAATCCTCGACACATGGCTGCCAAAAGATTTTGTGCAGCGGTGGCGTCGGTGCTGCAGCAAAGAAAGTACGAGCTAAGTCTCTGGCAAGACCACGCAGACCTCTGTTTGCGACAGACTCGAAGAGTGGCGCGGACTACAGTCAGAGTGAGTCCGTGGTCTCAATGCAGATTGCGGCGTACGTAGCCAGGAATGTCGCAGTTGGTCGTGTGGGGCAGCAGGATGCGAGCCGAGGTCTCTTGCAGTTCGCAGGCACCGAGCAGTGGCGGACGCCCGTACTAATACATCCAGCATTTGGTATGTCACAGTAGTCATGGCATGCGTGATCGTACCTCGTCGCGCTGGTTGGGATCTGCGCCCAGTTCCAACAACAACGCCACAAAGTCGGGGTTGCGGACCGCGTAGTGAAGAAAGCACTAGCAGGCGAATGTGATCACACTCGGTGACTATACGGTGACCATACCTCGGACTTGAGGTCGACCTTCGACGCTAGTAGCGCCACGTTGGAAGCGCTTTTGGCGGTTAGTGCCATCTTGAGCGCTTCGACGTAGTACTAGCAGAGATGTTGCATGAGTCAAATGGTCGAAGGAGCTGCAATCACAGATTGTAGGCACCTCTGGCGGCTGGACGCTCGCATGGTGCAGCATTTTCTCGATCAGTGCTGTGTCGAGGTTGTTCTTGATGGCCCGGCCCAGCGGCGCCATATCGACGCACGCCTTGGTCGAATGCTTCAATGACGCGCGCCAGTGGGGAATCGGAGTCGCGTAGTCGATAAAGTTGATGTCGGCCACTGGTGCTAGAAGCTCGACGGCCTCCCGCGATCGCTTTTCGAGAGCATAGTACAGAAGCGGCATAATGTTCGTCTACGCCGTGTCCAGTACGTCATTTGATGGGATATGCATTCTGTACCTCGTCTTGCTTGTTAGGATTGCCGCCTTGTTCAAGGTACAGCTGCAGATACGGAATATGGACAACCATCGAGTCGTTGTGCTGTATTCACAACAGTCAGTGCCACGTCAGCCAGACAGAGAGATACGACGTACAATCGGAGGCATGTCGGCGAAGCGCGCGCCATGGGCCAAGAAGAGCCGCATGCGGTCCACCTTGATGTCGGACCAGCCGACTTGGCAGAACCCAGACTTTATGCGATGAGAATCGGAACTGCAGTCACGGCAATACCTTCATGGCATCTTGGATGTTGGCCCCCGCGGCGATGAGAGCGGGGATGAGCGCGTTCGCAAAATCGTCCGAATCGCTCTTGCTTACAGCGTAGAGTGGCGTACGGTTGTCCTGCACCGGATGAATAGGGGCTGTACATTTACTGCATGGAATTGAGTGTCATACCCTGAAAACTTCGTTGACGTCAGCGCCGGCCGCAATGAGCTGTCGTGCCATGTCAATTCTGGAAAAGCGAATGGCTTCATAGAGAGGACTCGACCCATTCTACACCCCGATGTGTTGTTCACAGTACACTCAAGTCCTCTGCTTCGTACCTGGTCGCGCGTGTTGACGAGTGCGCCGTGCTTGACGAGGCAGTCGACACTGGCGCGATCATCGTAGACCGCCGCGACCGCCAATGCCGTGGTACCCATCTACATGGCAAGCCGACGTTAGCAAGGTGAGAACCGTCTTGGACGTCTTGGAACAGTACCCGATTGCGAACGTTGATGTCGAGTGCGCGCGATGCGATCTCGTCGAGGACCGTCACGTTGCCGGCCATAGCAGCCACGTGCAGAGGGGTGCCGCCAAGCTAGATGGCAACAACGTCAAAATGTGCTCTTTGCCAAGAAATGAGATACATACGTCGTCGAGCTTCGCGTCAACGTCAAGGTCCTGGGGGATTATGCCGTTGCGGAATCCCTCGAGCAGTACCTGGTACGCGCTCTACAGAGTCGGTTGGATGCGACGAAGACGAGGTTGAGATGGACCGTTGGCGCGGGGGCAAAAGGCGATGCCGCGAGGGTAAAAGGCGATGGCACGCGGGCAAAAGGCGATGGCGCGGGGGCAAAAGGCGATGGCGCGGGGGCAAAAGGCGATGGCGCTGATCGCGTCGCGCGCTTCCCCATGTCTAGATGCGGTGAAATGTATTTTGACCACGGCGGCGTCGTGGGTGCAGCGCCGGTATAGACGAGACCTTGTGGCAGCCCACGATGATGGCGCGCGTGAAGGTCGTTTGCATGAATGATGGTTTCTCACGCACCATTGTCCAATCACCAGCTGGATGCAAACTTCCAAGCAAGGGCGTAAAACTTGTTGTGTCACAGAATCCCACGGCCCACACACCTCCCTCGTACACACACAGCCCCTCGTGACGTCTGCCGCCGAGCCGCGTTCTTGACCAAGCTGCACCTTCAACACTTGCTGCTGAACACTCAAGCATTGCGCCTCTTCCAAATGATGGCAGCCCTGGGGCACGACGCATGGCTACGCGACAACTTCGTTCCGACATGTGCCGTTCACACGCCACGTCTCCCGCTTGGCTAAGTCTCTCGGTCGCCGGCTCGTCGTAGCACCTTGGAATCGCTAGGCCACCACCACGTACAGTTCAGTGTGAAGTATATCTAAATAGTCAATTTCACATGGCTGCATTACCGCTGCACCTCGGGTGAGGCGTGGCGGGTTGCTTAGCGGAGATCGAAAACTAGAACGCTATGCTCTTCCGACCAGCAACTGTATGAACGCTAGCTTCAGCGCATCTCCTTAAGATTGCGACGCCGTCACAGTTAGTCGTGTGCGGAAATGCGTGCGAAGCCGCCAAACGTGGCAGAAAGGCACGAGTAGTGGCGGGCGACCGCACCAATCAAGGGAATTCTCTTGCTGCCAATGCATCAAACCTCGATCTTTCACAGTCCTCATAGCGAGTGCGTTCGCACCGAATCGCACTGGTTACTTTTATGGTAGACGCACTTCGGTAGGCGCACTCTGGGGGCTTTGATGTCGGCCACCGGCGCTTAAAGCTCGACGGCATCGAGCAAGCGCTTTCGGGCCGCGGCGGTCAGGAGTGGCTTGGCTTCACGAGGTACATGACCGCCTCGCTCGAGGAATAAATGCAAGTACACGCAATGTTGGCGACCATTGATTCGTGTTGCCCTGTAGTACTCATACCAGTCAGCACCACTTCAGCCAGCCAGAGACACACGACGCACGATGAGGGCATACCTGCCAAGCGCGCGCCGTCGACCAAGAAGAGCTGCATGCGGTCCACCTTGAATTCGGACCAGCCCTCTTGGCACAACTCATTGGCCCCGCAGCGACGAGGGCGGGATCAGTGCGGCCGCCACGTCGTTCGAGTCGCTGGCGGCAATGAGCTGCCGCGCTATGCCAGTCTTGCGTCCGAACCGCGTGACGTGGAGAGGGCAAACTTGGAACAGCTCTTAGAACCCAGCTAGAACTGCTAGAACCAACCCGAGCAACTTCAACTTGGCGCATCTGATCACATCCCTCCGTGCTGCTTTGCTCCCTCCGATGCCGTGCTGCCAATCGACCACATTTTAAACGTAAATGCACCCGTACATGTTTGTTTCGAATCGATACTGAAATCACCGTCACCCTATTTCCGTAAAATAGCATCACCAGGAAGCCGTGCAAGCGAGCAATGAAGGGTCCCACGCTGTTCCGAGGTTGGCACGCCGAGTGGGTGGGATGCTTGAAGATCGCGAAAGATTCGTCACCGGCAACAACGGCGGAACGTAGTCCGGCGAGTGAAGGGCCTGGCGACTGCGTATGAGATCGCGACATCGTTCTGCGTGTTCCAGCCCCTTCACCATCCTTCCTTCGTACTAAGTACTACCTGCCGGCCCTTCACCGTACTAGTACGTCCTTCGCGTGCCCACCTGATTACCAGCTCAACTTACCGGCTCTTGGTGCATGGGCATACTTGATGGGTGCCGGTTCGTCGCCGTTCCTTGCAGGCGCCGGCCAACGGGAGCATCATTGGGTTTGGGTGCGGGTGACGTCGTCCAATACATCATCAAGGCGTTTCCTACAAACTTGCCATGTAAATAAAAATAATGCATAAAAATAGCGTCGCGCCACCTTTCGCCGAAACCGTTGGGGCCACAAAATAAAAAGCACAGTATCTTTGTATGTAATATTAAAAAAAGGTGGCCTGTCCTTGATTTGTTCGCTGCACGGCAGATTGCAATTGGCCTCGATCGACGCGATGCTCTTTACACGCGCGCGCAAGTACCTCGCGACGGCCGAGCACAACGTCAAGCTCGCGTTCCTCTTCACCATCACCTTTTGGTCCTGCCGCAGGTTGCCAGGAGGCGATAAGCATGCCTCATTCTTATTGCTCGTGGTCTATTAGCATCATCTTTCAGCAAGTGCTCTCGGGCTATGTGTACGTCCTCACGGGCTCGAACGAACCCGTGGGCATGGTCAAGGGTATCCAAGGCGTCGTGCAGATGGTCGCAGCCATTCCTGGTGGCTACGCCTGCGACCACTTTCGCCGCGACACGGTGCTCAAGGTCTCGGCGGTGCTCGGCCTCGTGTGTATCGCCATGAGCATGGTGGCCTTTGGCATTGTACGTACACCTTTCGCTCGTTGCATGTAGTAACAAGTGGCATGGCTCATTGAACGGATGCGTAGGGCCACTTGAATTTGATTTACATCACGTTTGGCTTTTGGGGCCTCTTTTGCGCGCTCCAGCGCCCGGCGCTGGAGGCACTCTTTGCCGACTCGATCCCGAACGGCGAGCGCGCGTACCCGATCACGATCAAGTACACGCTCATGAACACGGCCATGGTGGCCGGTCCGGCCATTTGCATCGTCTTTTTCCAGCTCTACGGCGACACGTGGTCGCTGGAAGGCCTCCAGTTTGTGCTCCTCGTCGGCACGGTCATTGGCGTGCCGCCGCTTTTGCTGCTCTTCTTTTTCAACGACGACTTGGCGTATGAGAATTACACGATGGCGCCGATCAAGACGCGCGCCATTTCGTTTGTGGACGAAGACGGCGTGCTCGAGTATAGCTTTACCAACGACGACAAGGACGCGCAACCCAAGGTGTCGGAGCGCTCGAGCCTCGTAGTCGCTGACCTCGGCGACGTCGAACGCAACGAACACGGCGATGTGATTGGCGATGGCAACTCGTTCTTGTGCTTTGGCCCACGCCACGTTCCGTACTTGCTCTTCTTTTCCGACTTTATCATTTGCAACGGCGCGGGCATGACGGTCAATTTTTTCCCCGTTTCTTTCAAAACGAATATGGCTTGACGCCGTCCGAGGTCAACCTCCTCTTTGTGGTCCAGCCGCTCCTCGTTGTGTGCCTCGCGTTCGTCACGGAGCGCGTTGCTGCGTACGTCCTCGACTTGATGTACACTACGTGGGATGGAGCTCAAATTTGTATGTTAGGCGTGTCGGTGGCATTGAGACGGTGGTCACCACGCGTGTGTTTGCGACACTCTGTCTGCTTTTCATGACGTACATGAAGCCGCTCTGGGGCGAAATCGGCCTCTTCCTTCTCCGGTACTGCCGCCCATTTCGGTCTCTCGAGTATTTGCAATTTATGATGCATGTAGGAGCGGTTTTATGCGCTGCTCGGAGCCGCTGCGCACCTCGATCCTCATGGACTATGTGCCGCAGAGTCTCCGCGGTCGCTGGAACGCACTCGAGGGCCTCACTCAGTTTACGTACTCTGGGAGCGCGGTCGTTGGCGGCTACTTGATTGAGCGCCACGGGTACCGCTACTGCTTCTTCATCACGTCCATCATCTACGCCATCGGCATGGTCGTCGAGCTCCTCCTCGTGCCCATTATCCGCAACAAGCCCAAGGCGCCGCCCGCGAAAACAATCGTCGCGCTGCATTAAAATCCATCAACTGATACATTGATACATGTGACACAATCAGTTACATGATGGCACACGCACAACCCGGGTCGGGGTGCGGCATGTCGGGCGAACCCCGCGTGGGGGCAGCCGCCGACGTGGCGTTGGCCGGCGGCAGTGGCTCCTTCCACAAGGCATGGGCGGGCGCTACACGACCAGTCATGAGGCGCTAGAGTCGCGTGACGATAACGCGTACGGTTCACAAAGGCTTGCGGTTGCACGAGGCCCGTCGGAGGGAGGGCGGGCAATGGCGCGGGGATCTGCATCCGCATGAAACCTCTGGCACTAGGCGGCATGGGACGCTACCGTCTCAAAGTAGACCGAGCTGTTGCGTGCGGCGGCAATGTCGAGATCTCGCTGAATTATGTCACGCGTCCGCTGTGTCTCGGCGGCGAACGTTGAGAGGCGCGCAAGCTGCTCTTTGGCCTGTTGGAACTGCGCAATCGCTTGGACACAGCCCGGCGCGTCCTTCTTGTTCCACTCGGCCACACCCTAGTGTCGAATTGAAAGCATGGAGCCCGATTCCGTCGACGCACCTGATAGTACAAGCCAAGCGCCGTGTAGTAGATGGTCTTGAAGTCGCACCAGCCGCGTAGCTTGACTTGGCTCGGCGGAAGGCTCGCGAGCGTGTCTACGCATTTTCTAAAGCAGGAGGGTCGTGCCATCGTGCTCATACCTTTGTAGCGAGACGCAATGTCGACGCATAGCTTGCCCATGAGAACCCAGTCGACGGTCTCTCGCGTCACACCCCGGAGCACGACGAGCTCTTGGGCTTGGGCAAGGGCGATCGCCCGAAGCGCCGATAAGCCAGAGCCGCCTTCGAAATCTTTGATGCGGCTCAGTTCCTAGTGGTGGTTGAGAAAGGCACCTTTGGTATGGTGCGCGTACCGGGGCATACGTAGCGGCGTTGTCGGCCTGCGCTTGCTCGGCGCGCCATGCAGCCATGGCTGCATCGTCCGCACCCGTCGATGCTGTCGTCTGCCTGCTCTGGCCGAGGAATCCCAGCGCTGCGTCAAAGAGCCCCGACGTGCGCAGAAGAATCTGGTACGCTTCCTTGAGCTTGGGCTCGTCAAATTCGAAGTCTCTCGACGCTAGCATCGCTGTGGTCTAGGTTTAAGACCGTCGTAAGCTCGACAATGCACTGCATCGGGCGATGGTTACGAGGTCCGACGCGCGCTGGAGCAAGACAGTGCCGACAGCGTACAAGGTATGTGCGTACTCGTGGTACGCGTTCAGCGAATGCACGGACGACTTGGCTGTGACATCAAGCCACTCACAAAAGGCAAAGGACACGGCCGGCGCCGGCTTCTCAGCTACGACAGGCTTGCTCGCAGCCGCCTCGTCGTTGTCGTCGCTAGGTGTCGCCGCGGGGGCTCTCGCCGCCTACGTTGTTGGGGCATTAGACTCAATCGCGTGGGATGCCTACGTTGAGAAAGCCTTGCAGAAGGGACAAGTATTGACTCGCGTTCTCCATGTACGCATCGAGCTGGAACTGCGCCTTTTCTTTCTCCCATTGGTACTGCGCCGGCTTGGCAAAGTCCTTGCATTCGCAGAGGAGCTTGGCACGCGTCGTCGTGAGCGCATCGAGGACGGCCGTCGGCACGGGGCCTAGCTTTTGGCTACCAAAGACAACCTAGGCTCGGCGTTAGCGCGCGCTGACAAGCACGAAGCGCAGTACGTACGTGCTTGGTGGCCTTGATGCCCGGCGTGAGCACGACGCAGGCCGGCTTCAAGACCTCGGGCGTCGTCATCGTTGTAGAAGGGCAAACTGGCCTGTCTCGCCCGCGCCAGTTTTTGTTAGCAACAGCAGAACCGATCAGTTTAAAACAAGAGCATAGTGAATACATTATGTCGAATAAGCGTTGGTAACGTGTTTAAAACCCGGTTGACAACGCCGTCACGTAACACTGGATACCTGGTCGCGGCCTGGGCGGGGATTGGCTGCTTCATAACGCACGCGGATTGGTGCAAAACGAAATAAAGAATCCGACATTTCAGCCAACCCACTCGAAGGCATGGATTTTCGAACATGGTGTACACCTTGAAAAAATACCTACACTTTTGTATGCACTCAAATATCGAAAACCTGGATTAAAATCCCAGGAATCCGAATTCTGCCAGATCTTCTTCATTGCAAAATTCGCGTCCTTCCGGGCAAGACAGGCAGCATGACGATGCAGGACATGGAACAGCCCATGTGCGAGCCGCAGCATGGCGCAACGACCTCCATGGATGACGATGGTCTCCTTGCAACCAAGGCGCGCCTGCAGTGCCAGGTGTGCTTTGACTGCTTCCGCAGCGACGAGATGGTCCGAAAGATCTGCAGCAAGACGTGTCCCGCGGTCGTGTGCCATGGCTGCCTCGAGGGCTACATGAACTCGCGCCTCCATGCGCAGATCCGCGGCGTACCATCCAAGCTGACGTGCCCCATCTGCGTGCGGCCCGTCAACCTCGTGCGATGGAAGCGCCGGGCGCCGTTTGTGTACATGGAGTCGATCTTGGACCACTTTTCGTACCATGTGGAAGCAGCCTGCGAAATCCTCTGCCCCGAGTGCCACGAGGTCTCGACGGTGCTGCCGGACCCGCAAGAGCGTGTCTACACGATCGCCATGACCAAGGACTACACACAACACATCCCGACGCTGCGCCAAAAGTGCGCGGCCTTTTGCCAGCACAATCTGACGGCCGCCGACCTCGTCAACTTTATCGTGCAAGCGTTTGACGATTACTGCGACTTGGTGCTCGAGTCGGTCGTACCGCTCATCCACGATACCGAGCGCCGCGTGACGCTTGTGCTCTACATTCTCCACCAGGATCCGTTTACGTTTACCGCGTGCTGCGACGCGGCCGTGTGCTTTCGTTGCAAAGTTGCGGGCCACCACGAAGACCAAGAGTGCACAGCTATGGTGCCCGACATGGACGAGGTCGCGCAGTGCCCCGAGTGCGGCGTCTTCCTAGTCAAGGGCGACGGGTGCAACTCGATGACGTGTGTCTGCGGCGCGTGCTTTGAGTGGGACGAAGAGGTCGTCCGGTTCCAAATGCAGTCGATTGCGCCACGCCATCTCGATGCCTTTCGACGCGTCTCGCGCTTCCTCCAAGAGCGCGTCTGGAAGAGCCGCTACGACCTCTGCATTGACGAGCTTCCGTACGGCTACATCGACCTCAAGCTCCGAACATTGCGGATAGCGCTCGGCTTTCGCCTCCTCTGGCGGTGCTTTAAGGCGTACGCCGGTGCAGCGCCCTCGCGACCAGCGACGGCCGCGCCGCGTCTCTGCGATGCACCGCCCGCCAGCCTCAAGCCCGACAAGACCTCGTAGCTACCTGCGTTGAAATCCTTTATCTATCTGTATCCTGTCACCTTACGAGCTTGACATACCGGTTGTCTACTGCCCGAGCTCATTAGCACCATGGGGACCGAGCGTAGTTGCTTCCCATCGACCCGCTCGACGACGTCGTCGGAAGATCCATATTTGCTGTTATCCGGCGCGTTCTCCCACCTTGGTTTTGTATGTGACATACGGTACCATTTCGGCGCGAAGCGCTCGGTATCCGGATACGGCGCGTGCCAACCAATCACGGCGTGGTTCGTAGTTGGATAGAACCAAGATGGCATCCAAGCGGCCGTACGCAGCGCCGGCGCTGCCCAGCCGGCAGCAGCTCGAGACGCGGCTCGTCGAGAACGGCGCCGACCTCGCGACGTGCAAGAAGGACATTGAGGCGCTCGAGGCCGACATTGCCAAGCTCCAAGACGCGCTGCGCGTCCAGCAAGCCTTGCTGGCGAAGAAGCAGTATGCGCGCGAAGACCTCGAGCTCCAGCGCGACAGCCTCGAGAAGCGCCTGCAGCGCTTTCTCTTGTACGCTGAGAACCGTACTGCGCCCATCGTCGACGTGGACGCGCCACTGGAGAAGAAGCTGCGCATCGTCAAGCCTCTCTCGCCGGTCGTTAGCGTCATTACGATCACCGAGTCGCCACCCCGACGCGAGAAGAAGCGCAAGATGTCGCCGTTGCCGCCGCCGCCACTACCAGCACCGTCCAACGCGCCGATTTTGCCCGAGGTGCGCCCGCGGACACCGACCATCGCCAACTTTCCCGACCAGTTTTGGTCGACGACCGAGGTCGCCAAGCTCTTGTCGCAGCCGCGCATGAACATGATTGCGGACGGCTGCTCGCGCAAGATGCGCTGCTCATCGTTCCATCCGAACAACCCTGACCTCTTCTCGACGTTTGCGGACGACGGCACGCTGATGCTGTGGCAGTACCAGCCGCATTTTCGGGACCTCAAGCACGTTCTCCAAGTGCCACCGTCCATCTTTCGCCACACTGGCCACGCCTGCGTCGTAGGCTGCTTTCTATACGTCGCTCGATGTACCTCATTGCTCGCTGCCTTTAGGAGGACTTTCAATGGTACCCCGGCAACGGCAACAAGATTGCTCTCGGGTTTCAAAAGCCGAATGCGGACGCAGGTGAGATCTGCGTCGTCGAGTGGAACCAAGGCTTTGCCAAGCCGCCCGACCGCGTCTGGAACCGGTCGTCGTCGCTTGCGTCCAAGTACGTTCTTCTGGGTACGGAGATATAGTCGCGTACGATGGTACTAGGGGTGTCTCGTGCATCGATTGGCTCGACGAGAAGCACCTCGTGACGGGCGGCCCCAACCACAGTGTCGTTGTGTGGAAGTACACGGATGCGGCGGCGTCGGCCACCAACATGAAGACGCTCCACGCGGACCATCGCAGCGAGATCCGGTCGCTCTGCGTGCACCCGCACTCCCCGTCAGTCTTCTCTGGCGCGCTCGACGGGTACAGGATCGATCGCGTCGCCGATCGTTAATTGAAGCTTCGTAGGCTTGTCATCGGCTACGATCTGCACCACCAGTCGGCGACGACCGTGCTTGAGAAGCGGCAGACCAACAACATTGCCAAGATCAACGCCGTCCTCGCGCACCCCAACCACCCGCATTTGCTCATGGTGTCATGCGTGCACTCGACGCAGCAGACGATGCTGTTGCACGACCTCCGCATCAAGACGTCGAGCTCGCTCACGAGCATGCCGTCCATGGTGTGGTACAAATCGACGGGCGACGCCCGGGCCATGAGCCAGTACACAACGCCGCGCTGGTCCACGGCCGGTACGACTCGAGCCGAATCTAGAGAAGAGGGTAGGAAGCTGATGGTGCATGCATGCTGTAGGGATGCACGTGTCGTGTGGCAGCACGTAGTGCATTTTTGGGACATTCGCGCGAGCAAGCGCGAGAACGTTCCGCATCAAACGCTGCGCATCCACCGCAAGCCCGTGCTCCACGCAAATTGGCACGCGACGCAGAACGTGCTCTTGAGCATCTCGAGCGACCGCAACATTGGCGTCATCACCTTTACCTAACCCCATTACCACTCATAGATTTCCATTTGTAAAAACCAACTACCATTGCATGTGTGCGATGGCACTGCTGCGTCGTGTCAAGTGACCAGACCAGATCCGAGGACACGCGCATGCTAGTGCGACAAATGTACCAGAAAGCGTTCGCAGACGACGCAGAACGTCGTGCGGGTTAGGGTCCCTCGTCTTGGAGGTGACTAGTGAAGAACGTGGGGGAGGATACAGTCGCGTCATGACAAGAATATTGGCATGCCATCCATACCGTCGACATAATATATATACGCAACGCTGCGCAAAAGCCATGATGAAATAATGCCAAGGGTCCATGAACAAGGGTCCATAAACTGTTTATAGACCTTGGTAATACGAAGACCCACCCGTGGACACACTCCGAGCATGGGATGCGAATAGGAGAGAAGCTTGCCAGCGCGTAGAAATCCGGCTGATATTCGTGCGCGCTGCATCTCAGCGCACTGATGATGCTCTGACCAAGCTACAATTCGACCAGGGTGCTGGTATACAAACGTCCTGGTCGATTAGCATTAGCTTGGCTGTCGGCCAAAAAGGGTCCTCCATAGTAGACGATCTTTCTCACTTGGCGCTCGCTGCTCTACTCCTGCAGACGATCTCGTCAGTGGTATTGAGCTACTTTAGAGAAAGCGCGCCTCTCTTGAGAATATATATCCTGCTCGGGCAAGGTTGTCAATGCTTCGAACTTCGACCGAAGTAATGCGGCCAGTTGGGAGCAGTTTTAATTGCGAAGTTGCGATGCGGTGGTGGAGTCTGCTGCTGACGGCCGCGGTCGTCGCCGACGCGGCCAAGCTCAACCCGATCATCGTGCGCGGCAACAAGATGTACGACTCGAAGACGGGCAAGCGCTTCTTCATGCGTGGCATCACGTACGACTACGACGTGAGCGACGACCACTACGCCACGTGGAGCAAGGTCGCGATCGAGACAGCCCTCGCGCCCATCATGGGCTCGTTCAACACGTTTCGCCTTTACAACGTCAACCCGGACAAGACGTACGACCAGTTCATGGAGCACATGGAGTCCATCGGCGTCTACGTCATGATTGCAGCGTCGCCGGCCAACGTCGAGTACTTTGGCCCATACCGCTACTCGACGATTACGAAAGGGTGGGGCCCGGACGGAGCGGTCGTCGCGGGCCAGACGCAGAAGGACCAGACCAAGACGTGTTACCCGGCACTGCTCCTGTACTACGGCAAGCTGGTGCGAGACGCCTCGTATTGGAGCGACCATCATCACGGGCTGTGTAGATCATCAAGGACTTTGCCAAGTACGACAACACGCTCGGCGTGATCGTCGCCAACGAAATCCTCCAGTACGACCTCACGGCCGGGGGTGCGTCAAGCAGTATGTGGCCGACCTCAAGAACTGGATGCGCGTCAACGTCAAGCTCCTGCGCATTCTCCCGCTCGCGTATGCTGGCGCCGACTCGGCACCCGACAAGGCGTCGGTGGGCATGACGGCCGCAGCCCTTGCGCTCCAGCCCGATCAATATACTGTCGTCAAGATCATGGGCCTGCTCTGCGGCGACACGATGGTCAACGGCGTCATGCAGAGCAGCATCGACATGTACCTCGTGAACGAGTACCGCTGGTGCAACGACGGCAAGTTTGCAACGTACGAGACGTTCCTCAAGATGGCGACCGGCGTCCCGATCGTCATGGGCATTGGCGAAACCGGCTGCGACACGCAAAAGCCGCGCAAGTGGACCAACGTCCCGTATCTCTTTTCGAGCTCAAAGGAGTCGCAAGGCTTTACCGACGTCTACTCGGGCGGGTACGCGTATACCTTTGGGTCGGCATCCTTGGGCACGACGGGGTACCCCCTCTTTTTGGGTACACCTCGGAATGGTATATCGCGAGAAATTCATGCATGCCGACGTAGGGGGTGGCACGGACATTGTGAGCAAGCCGGGTACGACGGTGACCGCCGACTTTACCAACCTCGCAGCCATGTACAAGGCCAACCCGTCGGACGTGCAGATGGGCGGCTTCACCGCCGACACGATTTGCACGTGGGAACCGCCCAAGCTGCCCGCGCCCGTGACGCCCCTCGCGGCCAAGTCGGGCTGGCTCGGCTCGTGCACGAACCCGTCGATCTTGCTCAAGCCGACCGACAAGTGGACCACTAACACGCGCCAGGGCGCCGTGTGCACCAAAGACGGCCAGACGTGCGAAGTCACGCTGACCTCCAAGCTCGGAACGTCCGAGGAAGACTTGTGCGGCAAAGTGCTCGAGGTTGTGAGCGGCGGCGGCTCGTGTACACCGTCGTCCAACACGTGTGGCAAGCACGGCCAGTGCGTTGCGTCGGCGGACGGGAAGACGTCGTCGTGCCAATGCGTCGGCTGCTGGTCGGGTCTCTCGTGCTCGGTCATTGACCAAAACAAGTGCAGCAAGCTCGCGTCCGACCCAAACGCGCCCAAGTACATCTTTACGGGCGTCGGTATCTTCCTCGGTATCATGACGCTTGTCTTTGGCGGCCTCGGCATCGTCGCGGGGAAGAAATCCCAAGAGCTCAAGATGGCCGAGCAGCGCGCGGCCAACCATGCCACGGCGTCGCTTTAAGCACACACTACATGGAGATTCTGCATGAAATGGACATGTGCTACTGACTGGACATCTCTGGGATGGATACAGAATGCATGGTGTATATGTATTGTTCAGGATTATGTCGACGGCTTGGCGTCGGGCGGTGGCTGGAACGGGTTGGCGGCGCGTGGGCCGCGCAACGGCTGCGTGCGGACAGGCGCCGTGCCGTCAAAGAGCGTCGCCGCTGCACCTTCGAAGGCCGACTTGGCCATCTGCCCGGCACCGGTTGTTTCCACGACCGCCTCCGAGACGTCGGCCCGCCGGGGCTTGGCGTCGGACTCGTTGGTCAGTCGCTTGGCGCCATCGGCTGCCGCGGCCATCGCGACGCCTTTCCGAGCGAGTTCGTTCTTGGCCTTGGCTTCGTCGGCCATTGCTCCGGGCGCGAGCACGAGCGGCGGGCCTTGCATTTCACCCGGGGCCGCCGCCGCCGCAGGTGGCGCCCGAGCGCGGCGCGCAACATTTGTTGTTGTCGGTGCCGCCAACGGGCCGCGCGGTGCCTTGACTGTTGGAATGACAAGCGGTGGACCTTGGAGGCTCGTTGTCGTCGGCGACGGCGGGGACACCGGCCGCTCGTTACTGGGCTCGGCCAAAACGTCGTCGCCCAAGATGAGCAAGCTCGACTGCCGCCGCACCAAGAGCTTTGTCGCGGGGCCGCGCACAATCGCTTTTGTCGTGCACGCTGCGCGGTGCGTCGCGAGCTCGCGCACCGGCAAGACGGTGTTGCAGTCGGGACAGGACGTGACGCGCAGGTCGCACACCGACCGTTCGTGCTTCTCACGCGCGTGGAGCGGCATGGACGCGCCGCAGCCTAGACGACAAGTGACGCTGCGTTGGACGCATTCGGACTCGAGATGCGACGCCATCTTGGTCCGCAGTACCATCTTGCCGCAAGCACACAAGAGCAATCGACACTGGCTCATCTCGTGGCTGCTGCGCGCCCGGAGCTGGATGTAGATGCCACAGCCAGCGCGACATTGCACCAGGCGGTGCGTGCAGTCGTGCTCGAGATGGTGCGCACGGGCGTCTTGGGGCGTACTGGCGCCGCATTCGCAGACAAACTCGTCGACGGCGGGAGGCGGTGTAGCTAGCTCCGTTGTCAAGGCAGCGGCAACGTCGACTGGATCGGCGGCACGAACCGACGACGTAGCGTCCGACGTTGTCTCTTGCGCCATCACAGGCAGAGCGGCCACCGACGGTCCGGTTACTAGCATGGCGGTACTTGCTCCACGGCTCGGTGCCGGTCGTGGAGACACGACGATAACCTTTGTCAGCGTTGGGAAGGATGCGATCGGCTCTGTCGTGTCGCCTTCGACGAGAGATTTGCGCCTCGGGGCCACCGGCGACTCGAGACTGGTCGTGGGTGGTCCCGCTGCCACCGGTGCCACCGGTTCCGGTACGACGGGTGCCGGTTCCGATGGCAGTGGCGCCGACACCGATGTTTGCACCAGTCGCGTACTTGGCGCGGATGCCAAAACGGGCGGTGCGTCGGCGCTCGCCAGTTGCGCCGACGGGCCATCGGCAACACTGACGGGGAGGAGGCGCGCCGCCTTCTTTTCGCGAAACTTGGCGACGCCGGCAATGCCGACGGCGGCGGCTGCACCCACCGTGACGATCTCGGTGCCAAGGGCCTCGAAGAGTCCGGTGTTGACGAGGAAGATGGACGCAAGGAGCGGCAAGACGCCGACGCGCAAGAAGATGTGGACGGGTTCGGAGACGAGGTACGTCATGGCCAGCCCCGTAAAGAGCGAGCCTAGTCAAATCGCTTGTATCACGCGACGGCCTTTCCAGAAAGAAGGTAGCACGTACCGATCCACATGCTCGCGACGGCGTGGCCGACCGTGAACGAGAACTGGAGGACAAAGTAGGCGGCGAACGCATCAATGCCCGCGCAGACAGCGTACAAGATGTAGTTGACAAACTCGGGGAAGATGGGCTTCTCGAGGCGCTGCGGCGCTTTGCGCAAGAAGAGGTTGTACATGAGGCGCGCGCCGAACCGGAGCTTCTTGAGCTTCTCGCTTTCGTTGAGGTAGCGCTGGCGCTCGTGGAGCGGCATCGCGTCCGCGAGGCGCTTCTCCTTGGCTTCTTCGTAGAGTTCAAACCGCTTCTTCCAGCGCGTGAGGCCGTGAAGGCTACCGAGGACCGCCGCCATTTGTTTCTTGACCTCTTTAGTCTGGAGCTTGCGGGCAACGCGTGACTTGCGGCGGGCGTCTTGGAGTCGCCGCCGCGTCTCGGTCATGTGGTGCTTACTCTTCTGGATCACGACCTACAGGCACACAACATTGAGAGGGGTGAAACCTAGGGCAAGAGCGTACCTGGACTTGGTGGTCCACCGATCGCCGGACCACCTTTTTGTGGGCTTTGAGCGAGCCGTGGCGGGGGATGATCCCGATGCGTTGCGCGGCGCCGCACGCACGTTGGTTCGAAACTTCTGCAGTCGATCACGCAGTTGCTTTTGCACCATGCGCCGCGTCATGACCAACTGTTCGCGCGTGCGCTGCATTTCGTGCTTGGCATGGCGAAGGACCGCGTTGGTGTCGTTGGCAAAACACTCGGCGCACTCGTAGCACTTGCGACACCACGCGAGGATCGATGCGACGCTCGCGAGCTCGTCGACTTCGGCGGTTGACGTCTCTTTCTTTTGGAGCTCGATCGCTTCCTGCAGGAGGTACCCGAGCTTGGAGCGCGTCGACGATGTGATCGCGGTCGGTTCAAACTTGTTGAGGCGACCGTAGACGTCAGTCGTCGGTGACCAAAGTGCCAAGAGCTTGGCGACCGCACTCTCGACGCTCAAGAGGCCGGGGTCAGCGCCAACCGGCGCGTCAACGTGGGTCTCGATCGCCATAGAGAGTACTTTGGGCTTGGCGAACAGAGAAAAGCGGGGCTGCGCTGCAGTCGACAGGTTCTTGGACACGAGCTCGACGGCAATATCGTCGAGCGGGTCGGGCTCGCGCACCTCTCGGTTGTGCAAAATCAAGTAGAGCGACTGCGACACGATGCTGGCAAGCGACGTGAGGTTTCCGTCGCGCTCGAGACGCGCGAGCATCCGCGCATATGCGCCATGCGGCACGGCGTTGAGAAGCCCTTTGAACAGTCGGTGTGAAACCTTTGGTGGTTGTATAGTGTTTTTGTACCTTGGAGATCGATGCAGAGCATATCGTACTGCGAGTACTGCACAGGTTTGCCGTATGCGTCGACTTCGACCTCGACGATGCGGTCGTCGTCTTCGATCTCATACCGCACCGTGTAGTCGTGCATCTTGCCGGCTTTGCGGAAGAGAATGACAAACTAGACGCGTCATGACGACCGGGACACGGACGAAAAGTGAAGTACCGCGAGCGTCACGGGCATCAAACACACGGACGAGACGAGCCCACTCACGATGACGGTGGCGACAGAGGTGTCCATTTGCCGCAGCTTGTACAAGAGCGCGTTGATCAGCATCTGACTCATCGTGACGGTAAAGATGACCATGGCGCGTTGCGGTCTACAGACCACAGTTTACACATCAAACTATTGCAAAGGACATACCGCGTGAACGTTTCGTCGTATCGCAGGATGGTCGAGAGAATCCGGTGTTTGGCTTTCAAGCCGTCCCAGAACCCAGAGAGAAGCGCTTGGGCCTTTGCACGCCGCGTTTTGGCCGCCGCGACTTTTGGTAGCACAAAGAGACTGCGCAAGTCAATGTGTGTGGGCTCGTTCTGCTTGGTCAGCGCATACTTTCGCCGCCTACGTGCATAGGATAAGAACATCGAGATCATATATCGTTCGTACTTGGCGCGGTCGTCGCGGTCCCATTTGAGGCAGAAGAGGAGACTCACGCCGTACAAGATGACCATGACCCCCATCGTGATGACGATACCAATGTTCTGCACGACGTCCTCGACTGTCGTTTGGTGCTCGATCACCGAGAAGAAGTTGTCCTCGACAGCCTGGAACGCCATGTCGACTTGCGTACTAAAGTCTGTCAAGTGGTCGCAGACGCAGAGCATGTAGTTGTCGTCTGGATCGGGCTCCTGCCTGCATCCGGCGGTCGACCACGCGCCCGCCTATATCGATACGAGTCGTTTCCTGTTCCGAGCACAGATCTATATGGTTGACGCACCGTCGTGTCCCAGTATTGACACTTGGGCGTCGGAATGTACTGCGGACAGGTGTACTGCACAGTGTAGTTGGCCGACCCGTTGCACGCCACGAGCTTGTACAGCTGCTGGTCGATATCGCACGTGATGTTAAAGTGCACCGGCGGTCCCGCCGTGCACGATACGTTGCCGCTCGTCGGCGCACCCGGGACCTACGCAAATCGCATGAGCCAGCGAAATGGCAAGGTTGAAGCACAGACAGGGTACTGCGCCAGCTTGCGCATGCGAATCGAGATGCCGCTTGTGAGGTTGGCGACCGCGAGCGGCGTGCTCGAATCGTCACAGAGCAATTTGAGACCAATGATACCCGAGTTGATGTTGGAGCTTGCATTCGCGTATTGATAGACGTTTTGAGCGAGGAACGTGGCATGCGTGTCGACGCCCTGCGCGCACGCCGACGACGCAGGCAAAGTGGTCGGCAGCGTGAACGTTTGCTTGGAGTAGTTGGCCTGGACCTGACTTTCCGAGAGCGGGAGCTCGAGTGTGCCCTCTACAACAACCCATTTTGAGCCAGGAGCAAGACCACATGTTGCGCGTACGTAAGTTGGCAGGGTCGTGTCGCTGAAGCACCATCTTGACGTTTTTCGAGTTCATCTCGACGGGGTCTTCGCCAGGAACGATGCCGTTGAGCATGGCAGACGCCAAGAGGCCGACTGTGGATTGGATCTTGATCGCCTTGGCTGCCGCGTCCGCGGTGCTGTTCGTGGTCTCCGAGAGGCGGCGAGGACCCGATTTGGTCGTGCTCGGTGCGTCCAGAAGATTCGAAATGGACCTACCGACTGCCGTCGTTGCCGCGGTCGAGAGCTGCACCTGCGACGACGCCGAGAGAACGCCAGCGACCAAGTCGAGGGCTTGCGTCTGCTGCGTCGGACTCAAAAGCCCCGAGTTGGCCGTGATCGACTGCACTGCAGAGGTTTGCTGCTCGACAGCCTTGGCGGTTGGCTCAATGCTCGACGTCGCGGACGCCATGGCGGTCAAAAGATTCCCAAGCATGGCTTGCTTTTGGTCATAGTAGCCTTGAGGCGTCGCGCAGTCCGAATCATACCTACACCAACACCCATTGAGTCCAACGGCAGACGACCCGATGCCTTGTACCAAGAGGGTTCGCAGGTGCACGTGGCTGTGCAGTCGATGTTCGTCGCCGGGCACTTCGGAGGGTTGAGGACGCACGCGCCGTGGCCAGAACACACGAGGGCCGCCGACAACGACGGGCACGATTTCAGCACCACCGCGGTCGGCTTTGGTGTGCGCCCGGGTGCCACCGATGCTGTTGGCGCCGGCGTCGTCGTACTTCCGCCGCTACTCGAGCCACTCGACGTCGTCGTCGCCGGCGGTGCATTCAACGTGGATGCGAGCATGCCAACGAGATTGACGACTTGGCCGGGGTCGGTACTCGCAGCGGACGCCACGAGCTGCGAGCTTTGGTCGGACAGTGCCGCCTGTTGGGCCGAGGCCGACCCCGTCGGAGCTGCGACAACGATCTCGGTGTACACCTTGGTTGCATACCCGTACGCATCAGCCACATACGCCACGATCGTGATCGTCGAGTTGACGCCGCCGCCGAGCGGAAAGATGGTAGTGAACGCTGTGCTAAGCGCGTAGTCGCCGAGCGCAATCTCAGTCGCATCCGCCTACAGTCATGGTTGCACTCGTGTTGCATATCTTTTGTAAGTGGGCGTACGGAAGCCGGGCCGACAATGTACTTGAAAGCATATGTTAGCGGCAAGTCGACGTCGACCCAGTTGAGACACGACACGGCAAAGGGCGTCGCGAGCGTCGTGCCCGAGGTTGGCGACGACACGAGCTATGAGAATCCTATTTGAGTCCCACGACCACAACAGTGTTATGTGTACGAGGCCGCTCGTCGGTGGCTCGTTGATTTGAACGCTAATGGTCGCATTGCTTGATTGACCAAACTTGTCTGTGCCGGTGAAGACAAAGACGTAGGTCTTGCCCGCCGTGAGCGTATTGGGCAGCAATAACATCCGTTTCGACGTCTACAGATTCAACGTGAGCGTTCCAATCCGCGTGGCATGGACCATACCCTCGCAAAGCCAAACGCAGTGTCGGCGACCGTCGCATCGCCTTGGACCGACCAGAGAGTGGTCGGGCTCGAATCAATCGCACTTGTGACGGCGCCATTCAGCACGATCTTGACGTCAGGGTTGTACTTGAGCTGCGAAAGCGGCGCCACTGTGGTTTTCGGTGGACTTCCCAGAAGCACCGTGTACGTTGTCGATGCTTGCGCGCTGCGTTGGGTCACAGGGTCATAGACCGTCAACAGAATGCGAATCGTGGTCGTTGGCGGCAGATTGGTTTTGGCAACCGTTGAAGTCGACCCGTTGTTAATCGAGACGTTGCCGCAGCTCACGGCGCCCGTCATCGCATCGAAGCACTGCCACGCATACAGTAGCGTCGTCGAGGAAGAGTCCGGGTCGTTGGACGCTGTGCCGCTGAGCACCAAATCGGCTTGGTTGCCGACAGATCGGAATCCGTTCGAGATGACAGCGACCAAGGCCGACGGGACGACTTGAAGCGTCACGGACGCCGAATTGATCTGCGCTGGGTGGCCGACAACGCCGACGAGCACTTGCACTGTGTACGTGCCATATGCGATCGTCCGTAGCGGCAACCGTAGCTGCCGCGGATTGCGACTCGTCGAATTGACGACCGTCATGACACCGGACGACCCGAGCATGGACCATTGAAAGCTCAGCGCGATGCTCGAGACGTCCGTATTGCCGCACGTTGCGGGTGTCGCAACGCTATTGAGCGCCAGCGTCGACGCCTTTGTCAGCGAAACGGCGCTCGGGCCGTCAATCGACACGACGGGCAACGGCGTACTTGCTTTTGTGACAACAATGGACCCGGACGTTCCGAACGCACCAAAAAAGTTGGTGATCGTCAGCGAAAACGTATATGTACCGCCAGCGATGAGCGTACTCGCCGGTAGCGACACGGTTTGGGCCGTCGTCCCGAGCGCCGAGAGGGTGGCTGCGATGTCTGGCGCGTTGGTGACGGTCCAGACCCACGCCATCGCGCGCCCGCCGCCCCCGGACGACGACCGTCCATCGAGGACGAGATCGTCGCACGACCCGAGGTTTTGCGGTCCCGTGACGCTGACTTTGGGGACGGGTGGGTTGACAGGCGTTTGAATCACAATGTACGACGTCGGCATGGACAGTGTTGACGTCGCGGTCGCCTTGAGCCCCGCGACGACTTGGCACTTGTCGCCCGGCAGCACGGTCGGGGACTGTCCCAGAAGAATACGCACGGTGCTCTTGGACGTCCATCCGCACGTCGGAACGTCGCCATAGAACCCTGTTGTGAAGACGAGCAGCCTTGTGCAGACAAAGCTCGTCGGCGTCGGGAACGACGAGAGGTCCACGTCCCGTGAAAATGTCAAGAGAATGTCAGCTCCCGTGTTGCCAAACTGGGCCGACTGAAGCGCGGGCGGCGGTGTCGTGTCGGACGTCACCAGCAGTGAGACGCCGACGGTAAAGTTCTGAAGCGCCGCGTATTTCGTATCGTTGGTCACGATCGTATGTAAAATGAAGCTACGACATAGACGTGATGGGTCAATCATATGTGCTTTGCATAGGAGACGTACGCTGGGGCCATGCCAATGATGTTGGACTCTTTGGACGCATTGGCGACGACGGTTTGCGGCACGTTCCAGTTGTCTTGCGTAAACACCAAGAGTGGCGGCGTCGTTCGGAGATACGAAACATTGGACGTCATGAAGATGTCGACCTCGTCAAATGGCTTGGACGTCAGCGCAACCGTGTACGAGTCGGGAAACCCGCCTTCGGCGACTGTGAGCTGCACCCGATTGTTGAGCATCGTGCCGCGCAATGCAAACCCAGACGTGTCCTTGTTTACGAGCACGAGCGACGTGTTGGGCAGAGGCACTTGCTGGTAGTAGACATCCGTCGTGTTGATGACCATAGCGCAGTTGACAACGTTGTTGCCATTGTCCATAAAGTCGCGTGTGCTCCGGAGAAGCCATTGGAGCGTCGTGTTTGTCGTCGCGACGAGCGGAGCCGGCACGATGAGACGCGACGTGTCGTTGCATGCAAGCGTAATCGTCACGGGGGCTATCGGCGGGCTGTTGACGGCGACGGTGAAGAGCACCGATGTGCCTTGGTCCATCGCCGTCGCGTTGGCCGAGACGTGGATGCCAGCAATAAACAAATCGATCGCTGCACCGTTGTCGCGTTTGTCTTTGTGGTGGCGACGCGGTTCGTGCTGTGGAGTCCGATGACGTGGACACCACCGTGGGCCGTCGTGGGCTGGACGCTCACCTCGCCCGAGACTGGTAGCGAGAAAATATCGAGCGTAATGTTACTCAGTGACGCGTTGCGCGTCAAGAGCGTTTGGTTGGCCCAGACACTAAGTGCACCCGCCCGCGCAACCAAGTGGAGCGACCATTCGTCGATGTCGCTGGACCGACGCACGACGAGTGCCGAGACGTTGATTGGCACCGTGACCCAAGTCCCCATGACACCATGCTTCGACGGGTCGACGACGAGCAGTGGAGGGTACGCAACCGGTAGCACGGTAATGTTGAGCAGTTGGCTAGTGCTGGCCTTGTCGCGGGGACTCGCCATCGACTGCTGTGCGAGTGCCGTCACGTTGAGCTGGAGCGTGCCAGACCAATACTTGGCGAGCGAGAGTGTCACGAGCGCCCCGGACGGAAGATGTGATAGCGTCGCGTCACGATGCTGCAATGTTACTGCCGCCTCGGTAGGCCACGATGCGACCGAAATCGAAATGTTTTCTGTTGTCGAAAGTACGGTCGCCGTGGCCGTCAGTTGCAGCACGTCCGACTCGCGCAACGTCGTCGCACTCGGTTGCAGTACGAGCGTCGGCACGTGTGCAACCGGGACCACCGTGACGTTCCACGTTTTGACCACAAGTTGCGAGTCATTGTTGAGCGTCTCGGTGTTTTGCACCATCAGCTGCATCGGTAGTAAACCAAAGACACCGCGCACGACTGGCAGCGAGACAGTCGTCACGGGCAGGACATTGGCAGGCAGCGTCGACGGAAATACCACCGGTCCGACCTTTGGCAGCGCCAGTACCGTGCCGTTGATCGAGATGCTGGTCAGTTGGGTGCTGCTCGCGCTCAGCCGGGTGTGCAGCACTTGGGTCGGCACTGCGTACACGGTCGTAGCGTTGATCGTGAAGTTTACCGCGTCGGCTTCGTACACAGCCCATGGACCGAAGCCGGCAATGGGCGGCGGCAGCTGTAGCGTCACGGTCGGCACTTGGGCGACTGGAGTAATACGCACAGCGACGGCAACGACTCGAGACGACTGCGACGTCGTTTGCAGTGAGACACCCGTGGCCTGGTGCAGACTCGCGGTCGTCGCACCGAGTAGCGTTGTCATCGCCCCATACGTGTACGGAGTGGTCCACACTAGATGTGGTGCGAGCACTACGTAGCCGTCAAAGTACTTGCTTGGCACGATACGACTTGAAAGCAAACGTGGCACGTCCGAGCTAATCTCAAGGTCGGACAGGTCCGTCACAGAGACAGTCGGCACGAAAGCGAGCCAAGTCTCGGACCCATTAAACGTGATCGAGCTCTGGAGCGGGTGTGTTGCCGTCGATGGAAGCGTCGCGATACTAAATGCGCTCGAAACGTCAACATTTCCAGATGCATTCCACGCGCTAGAGCCATTGAGAAGGCTGGTTGCGTTGAGTAGACTCGGCGTGTTGAGAGCGTTCTCAACGACCGAAATGCTTGGCACCTGGGACGAGAGCGCATAGGTCCACCCGACCGCCGGGGGGGCTGTGCGGGGGGCAATGACGAGGTTGATCATGGTTTCCACGGACGCCGTCGACACGAGACCGCTTGTGTCTGTCAGTAGCACTGCAACGCTGAACGTGCCGACATAGTTTGGCGCAAGTACAAAGCGCACAGTCGTGGTCGTCGAAGGGACGTCAAATGTCCTGAATGTCCCGTTGACGCGCACGGGGATCGAAGCACGCGACGGAACGCTGCAGGCGATGACAGGCACATACACGGGCAGGGTCATTGTGAGCGTCAATACATCAACGCCATTGGATGGACTCGGTACATCCGAGACGACGTCAAGATAGACCGTCGTCCCGTTGATGATCGTTGGCGACACCTTGAGCAACTGCGGGGGTAGCGCCACGGGTTGCACGTGCACACGGACAGGCGCAATGCCCAGCGCTAATGATGTATCTACACCGGCCAGCGCGACCGTGAAGAAGCCCGCAAAACCCGGTCGACTTCGGACGTGCAGCTGCATAAGTGGTTGTGGCAGCGCGTAGCTGGGGATGCTCGAGTTGCCCCAATCTGTCCTTGTTAGCACGATGCCGTTGGCCACCACCTATAGGTATCGTTTTGTGGTGGCTTGAAGACTTTTGCAAAAAACGTACCGTGCCAAGGTGGTGCTGCTCCAAATCCAATAGCACCAAGTCCGAGACATTCGACGTGACAGGGATCTCGATAAAGTCAGTGGCCCCGCCCTCAACGGACGATGCCACGACCAAGTTGGTGAGATCCAGCGTCGACGCAAAGGCCACGACCGACAAGAAAGACCGATTGCTCGCCGTGAGACCCAACGCGGGCACGACGCTGAACGCATCCAGCGTCACCTACCCCAAGTGATCAATTTTGATGACGGTATAACCGGTACAAAGAGCTTTACCGCAAAGTGGCCATCGTAATAACTCTGAACTGCCAGTGTCATGGTGCCCGACGTCAATGTGCTTGTCGTGTTGATCTGATAGAGCAGCGTCGTGGTATTTACCGATTGAGGCACTTGCAATTGGCCGTTCCAGCTCAAATCCGTCACGAGGAACCGCGGGACGTCGTGGTATTTACCGATTGAGGCACTTGCAATTGGCCGTTCCAGCTCAAATCCGTCACGAGGAACCGCGGGACGCCCACTTGAAGATAGACGACATTGTCGACATCGACATGCGCCATGGACACGACGACGTTGGTCGTGACATTGTTCATGGATGTCGGCACAAAGAGTACCGACGGCGAAGCGAGGAAGAGCGGTAGCATCGGGATGGGGTTGATATGGACAAGTACCCGCGCCGCCGACGTCGCGTTCAGAATGGTCATCGCGGACGCGATCGTCGGGAACGAGTACAGTCGCAGTGTGACGTCGCCGGATGTCGGGAATGTCGTCAAGACAAACGACCCGCGAATGCCACTCGCGCCGCCGTACACGAAGGTTCGGTTCCCAATCTGCGTCGTGGTGGCGTAAAGCATCGACGCGTTTTGAAACGCAACGCGTTGAATGACGGCGAGCGGTGCCTCGAGGACGAGCGTCGCGTTGGCGGTAGCCAATGCCGCTGCCAACACGATCGGCTGGCCTTCCTGCACCTCGATGTACGCTTGCGACAAAGTGAGTGCCGGCGGTGTCAAGTTCAATTCGACGAAAAACGTCGTGTTGGTTGTCGCCGTGCTGTTTGGAAAGAGCACCGATCTCGATTGCGCAACAAGAGTGCAGTTGAAGCGCGGCGTTGTCGCATTGGCAGACCATTCAAGCTCGAGACCCCACGGGGCGATGCGCGGGAGCCACGCGACGGAAAACATGTCCATCGACGAGGCATTGACCGATGTCAGTTTGGTCATGTTGGTCCGCGTGTAGTTTTGGGACACGACGACGCGATGGAGCGTATTCAACGGGCATACGATGGTTGCCGTGAGCAGCTGCGAGTGAAATGGATCGTGCACGTCGAGAGCAAGCACCTTGACGGCGGAGATCGCCTGGACGCTCGAGACGAGGCTGATGGGTGACACCGATACGTTGGGGTAGGCAGCAATGCCGCGCACGACGATAGTTGCGGCCGACGACGAGGCCGTACACTGCGAGGTGACATTTTCGCAGCATGCGTGCAGCATCGAGCTGTTCCAAGCGCTCTCCATACAGCCGAGCGGCGCCTCGAGGATCGAATGGATTGTAAGCACCGAAAAGTTGACCTACAAGACATATGTCAGGACGTTGGCGCCTATTCGGCGACGTACCGGCCCTGCATAGTCCAAGTACGGCGTCAGCACCAGAGAAAAGTTGCGCGCCGCGCCAAACGTGGTTGCCAGTGGACACGCCGTTACATTGGGGCCGACGACGACGCACGGCACCGACGCGTTGGTTGAAGCGTCCGTGATTGCATCAATGCCAAAGCTGGAAAACACCAGGGTCGACTTCGAGACTTCCGTATACCCAAGGGGCTCGACAAGGGCCACTTGAATGCTCATGCGGCTCGAGGTGTTTTGTACCATGGCTGGAACACCCAGCGTGATATTGGGCGTCGAGACGACAGGCACCACCGTCATATTGAGCGATGCGACCGAAATGGCCGAGGTCCCAAACGCGGTGCTCGTTGCTTGAAAGGTCCAGACGATCGGACCCCCGAAGTACCGGAGCGGCGTCACGAGTAGCTCATTCGTGGGGAGTTGCACGTGGTAGGCAGCCGGAGACGCTTGTAGCGTTCGTGTGACATCTTGTAGCGCATGGGATGTTGTCATGAGAACGCTGAGCGCGCCAATGGCGCTGTCTTGATGCTGCAGCTCGGTTTGCAGCTGAATGGACGCCACGTCGGTGGCATACATGCTGTCAACTGACGACACTTGAAGCGACGGCGGAAGAGCACGCAGCCACGTTGCGTTGAGCTGCTGCGCATCGGACGCGCCGTCGGCGCCATTTTGAACGAGCGCAGTAATCGTCAGTAGCACCGAGCCCACATAACCGATGGGTGCTGCTACTTGAAGCGTCGCATCGACGGCCGCCCATGGTCGCATGGAAATGATGCCATAGACGTCAGCCGTAAACCACTCGCCGCTGCGACCAATTGCAGTGATGATCGGCGGGCTGCTCACAACGTGGTATGTCACCAAGGTGCCGGGTGGCGCCGGTGCATAAGCAACCACCGACACGGGCTGCTCGTACGATGCGACGACGGCGTTGGTCGACAATAGTACATGCGGTGCAACGGGCAGCGACTTGACAGTTACGGCAATCGCCACAGGGTACTGCGCGACAAGCGTTTCGACGCCCAGAAAAAGTGTCGTACGCCCGACATAGCTCGAAGCGAACTCGACGGTCAGTTGCGAGAGATTGGCGCATGACATCCCGGAAGCTTGAGCAAACGCCGGCGTCAGTTGGCTGGTGCGCGTGGCGTTGACGACGACCCCGTCGGCCAAGGTGCGCTGGACGTCCGAGGTATACCACTGGAGCGCGCACGACGTAGCATTTGGCAGCGACCTATTCATGTATGAGACCACGAGACATTCTCATGGATGAATGACGTACGAAATCAAGTCAGGCAGCGAGAGCACGAGCGTCCGGTTGACCATGGTAGTAAAGGACAAGGTCTGCACGGGCATCACGGGTACATGCACACTGGGTTGCCACGTCGCAGTCCAGTTGACGCTTTGCGTTGCCAGCATCTGACGGGGGTCCGTGCCAAGACCGAGATCCACCGACGTCGTCATCGAGTGCAGCGTGCAGTCGGCGGTACCGGCTGCCGCTTGGCTCGGTGCATATATCCACTGCAGCGTCGTGTTCAAGTTGAGCGTCCCGATCTGAACCGATCCAAAATATGGCAACCACCGGCCCCCGGAAAATGCGACAATACTACCGGTGCAGGCCAGATACAACTGCGTCGTCTGCGACGTGTCGCCACCGATCGTGACGTGAAGCGTCGCCCGCGAGTAGTTGCCAAAGTCGACGACGCCATCGGTAGCCAAATCAAGTGTCGGTGCGACCGCGACCGGGTGCACGGCCACAAGCATTGTATGCGTGGCTGTTTGGTTCTGGAGTGCGACGACTTGTCCAAACTGGGTGCCGACACCTTCGTATTCGACCAGCCACGTCACCGAGAGCACCCCCGAAAAGTGAACCCGCGGTAGCAGCCCAATATAGTTGCTGTCTAGCAGCGTTGCATTCCCGAGTTCGACTTGCTGGATGTTGTCGTCGAGCGGTGTCACATAGCGCAGCGCTGCGACGCGGTATCGAATGTCGTTGACCGTGCGGTTGGTCGCACTTAGCATCGACCCCAGCGCCATTTGCAGCCACGTATTCTCATTTGTGCTTGCGTTGGCCGTCGTGGGCGGAAGCAAAAAGGACGCTGGGTTGGCCAGCCACTGAAGGTCCTTACGCACACTGAGCGCCGGGCCATGGTCGCAGAGCGCCGATACTTGAAACGGTATGACGCCCGAGAAATTCGAACCGAGAGGAGGCCACGCGACGACCTGGATTGGTTGGCCCATGTTGAGTACCGAGGTGTCTTGGACCGATCGACCGTTTACAAGGTACGCCAATGTAGTGGGCTCGAAATGGACCACTGCTTTTGCGCATTGGAGCGTTAAGGTGATCGTGATGGGTTGATCGTAGGTGCTGGTGTTGGCCGCTTCCATGTGGACGAGGTCGTGCGTGAGCGGCGGCACGCCTGCCACGTTCAATGCCACCCGCACCGGCGCTAGGACGCGTGGTACGACGCTGGCAAATCCGTAGTGAATCTCCATGTCGAGGATAATTGAGCTCGAAGCGTTGATTGGGATGAGCGACAACAGTGGTACCGTTGCGTCGCGAGAAGAATACAACACATACGGATGTGCTGGCCGCGTCCACGTTTCGTTGCCCAATCGTAACCAATCAACGTTGGCCGTCTCGAGTGTGTACTCGTACGACGCCGACGCTATCGCTGCCGTCGCGTACGGCAACGGCAGCTGTGCATTCGTTTGACGCAAGATGGCGGGGGCATCGAGGGTCCAGATTTCACCGCCAAACACGGCCATTGACACAACGCTCGCGGGCACCACGATCGGTGTGTCGCTCGGCTCAAAGTCGATGGCAAAACGGTGAAACACAGAGGCGCGGGATGTCGTATTGGTCGTTGCAATGGCACTAAACACATGAATAAGTCGTCACGCGGGTCAGGGGTTACCGTACCGAATTTCGAGGCAGAAATTGGCTTTTCCGCTAAAGCTACCGAGGGCCATGACGCGGAAGGTCGCCGACCATGTTTGAATCGACTGGTAGAAACTGGTGCCAAATGGGATACCGTACCGGGGCAGCGTCTCGTTTTGGTGCGGCACAAGAACGACATTGGCTGCATTTTGCACAGCTACACTCGGGCTGTCGGTCCACAAGAGCGCCGTCAACATATCCGAGCCGTCCAGAATTGGTGTTGCAATCTGGACCGTGACGTCGGCGATGTCATCCGAGGCAACGACGGCGGGCGACCGCACAGAGTCGATCACCGGTACTTGAGCAACTTGGAGCACGTCGAGTTGTATGGGCTGCATCAGGATGCGTGGGCGGATCGATTCGTCGGCGCCGTGGAACGTAAAATTGAGGGTCACGTTGGTCGAGCCGTACCGGTACGGTAGCACGTACAACTGCATCGCATCGTCGCTCGTGATCTACTTCGGTGTGAGATCCCCGACACATTTCAAACATTTACTACCTCGGACATGGAGTCGTTGAGAGACCACGCAAGCAGCTTGGACGCACGGACCACTGTAGCGCTTTGCGTGGCGTTGAAAAACGTGTCAATGGAAGCATCTCGCACGGTTTTGTTGACGCCATACTGCAGCGACACACCCGTCAAGTTGTACGCTTGTGTCCAATAGGTGCCGATCAACGACGATTGCGTCAGAAGTGCCATCCAGGCCACGCGTGTGTCGAGGTTTTCAAGCGTTGTCAAGGTCCACAGCGGCGCGACTTCGACGAGCGGGACTTGGTTGTAGTGCCACTGCACAGTTTGGTGATACACCCACTCGGCCGTCACGCTGGCGTTGGCCGCCAAGAATGACACGAGGCGAAGTGCCAATGGCACATGACCCGCGAAGTCGGGGGCCATATGCACGGCTACCGAAAGCGACACAAGATGGCGATCCGCGACCGTTCCCGACGGAAGCAATACCACCGGTAGCGTCCACTTCCATGCAGTAGCGCTCGTCACGTTGGCGTAGTGGTACTGCGCCGGGAAGTGCGAGATGGTTTCGAGCGCCACGACTTGAGCAGCGATAAGTGACGAGGCCATGGTCGCATTCAGCACTTCAATCTCGATCGCAAACGCCGTCGTTGTCGACAAGGGCACATTCGTCATAGTGACAACGGCCACGTCACCAAAGGGAACCGATCTATTGCAAAAAACGACACGGGGCACGGGCGGCACAGGCAGCGGCGTCACGTCTACAACGGCAGCGTACGGTACAATGGCAGTACGCTGCCCGCGCTGCAATCCAATGCGAATGTCGAATTGCAACCGGCCCGTAAAGTACGCGGGTGGCTGCACGTGCAAGAGCTGTGTCGGCGGCAGTTTGACAGGATCCAGCGTCGCCGCACTCGCTCGGTTGATTTGTAGCGGTACATCGCGTGGTACAACCATCACCCACAACGTCGTGTTGGACGCGCCCAGATAGGTCAAGTTGAGTGTGGCCGGCTCGCCTTGGAGGCACGCGACTGCCAAGAGCGGTGATTTTACAGTCGTGTACACGATTGGTGAGATATCAGGTTGAAACACGAAGGTGTCGGTCGCAATGGCACGCGCCTGGGAGCCTACCACAGTAGCGTTGGTGGCAACCACTTGAAGTGGAACAGGGATGCCGCTTGGGTCGGCTTCAAACACCGTCATCACAGGTGACGCCGCTCCGACATGGTAGCGTCCGAAACCATTCAATATAGGGACGTAGTCACCTATACGAGGGGGCTGTGTCGCCTCGTACAAGAGCGTGGTTGCATCCACAAGAATGTCCAGATCCAGCGACGACGACGAGGCCACCGGTTCTGCCAAGGCAATCATAGCAGGCTGACCGTACGCAATGACGCTGTGTGGTTGGAATGTCACCGGCAAGGTTAGCGCTGGGAGCGGGGCGACTTCGATGATGCGGATCGTGTACTGAATGACACATTGGATGGGGCGTGCCAAATACCGTGCTTCTGTCACGACCAAGGTCACAGCGGTTCGCCCCGAAAAGTCCAAAGCAGGAGCCAGCGCGACATCGTACACATCCTGCAATGCCTCGATATCGCAAGGCATCCACGCGCCGCTGGCCCACCCTCCGGTAATGCCACGATTCAGATGATCGCACTCGAAGTGGACCGAAGCATTGCCGTGAAGCGTTTCGCCAGCGCTGTTCAAGACATCTTCCACATCGGCCTTCCAATCACGGAAAATCAACTCGTTCTGGTATGCCTCGAGCCACTGGAACGTCCCGGGCAATACCACGGGGTCGGTGTCGGCGTCCCACACCAAGCTCACCGACGCAATGGTCTGCGCCGTCGACCCCACTACGTTGCCAGACGTCGCCGTGTACTGAAGAGTCATATTGCCAGAGAAGCCCGGCGCGACTCGCAAAAAGACCGTGCCAGAGAACCATGTCGCCCAAGACGTCCGCCCGGTGCCGTCTTGCAGTACGTACGAGCAGCCATCCTCGGCCGCATTGACGAGTCTGTCAAACATGTACACCATCGACACGGCGTCGCAGTACGCCGACGGGAGCGACAGCGTGATCGAAAACGTCTCGGAACCAACCGGTAGCGAACACGACACGTCAAACAAAGCCGCGTAGCCCGACGCAATGCTCGAGCTCGGTCCAGATACGACCAACACCGGCTCTTGTGCTACGCCCACGACGTCCAATACGTACTGAAGCGTGACGACCAGCGGCTGCAGCGTCGACTGCGTCACTAGTGCCTGGACCGAAAAGAGGACCGAGCCGACCACGTACGGCTGGAGCACGAGTGACGGC